TTGTTGTTAATAATAATGTTAAGTCATCAGTTGGTTGATGAACAAATTTAACAACATTAATTTTTTCTTCAATTTCTAAACTTTTAAGACAATCAAACTCTTTTTCATGTGATGCAAACTCTGTCCAGAATTTAAAATCAACTTTACCTAATTCATCGTTCTATTAATTATAAGTAATTAGAATTTAATAAATCATTTGGTTATACATAACAAACTTTTGACTTCTTAAACAATACAACTCGTCCTCCATAATCACCTGCTGCTAAATAATCTCCATTAGGAGAAAATTCAATTGTAGAAACAGTGTCTTGATCACTGATATCATCTTGAATCGAACGGTCACCTCCAAAAACTTGTGTTAATCTCCAATCAATGGAATACATTAAGGACTTTAGTTTTTCTTAGATCCTTTAACTTAATTTTTTATTTTTAAGTTTTTCAAAAGTAAAAAAAAAAAAAAAAGAAATAATATTAATTCAAAATCAGTTAAAAAATGATATTAATAACATTATTTTAAAACCTAAAAAAAAAATAAACTTATGTTAAAATGAAGTAGTTCAAATAAAATCTCAAATTTTTATTGATTTATTCTTTTTGGATGTACAGAAAAAGTGGAGATCCAAATTCCTTTATAAAAGACAGACAAATTGAAAGACAACTAATTCGGTTATCTCGAAGAGGAAATTTTATGGCGAAAAAAAGGATCATTGAAATTGATGATGAACAATTAAAAAGTTATGAAGAAATATACTCTTTGTTAAATTCTAAAACACTTATTGATCAATACCATGGAACTCAAGCACTAAGGAGGGCAAGTGAAAAAGAAGTTGAAAATGGGTTTTTATCAGAAGAATTTTTGATGGCAGGTTTATTGAGTCAACCTATTATGAAACTTAATAAACTACCAGGATTAATTCAAAATGAATTATTGATAACAATGATAAATATTTCATCATTACAGAATGGTGCTGAATACCTTATTGCTAATGGATGTTTGGAATCATTAGTTAAATGTTCAAAGTCACAATCAGAATCAAGAAATAAAGCTTTATGGTGTTTAACAAACTTATTATGTCATAAAAAATTGAGTTATAATGAACAAGGAAGAAAAACTGTAAACCAAATGATTCAAACAACTATTAAATTACCAGAAATAAATGAATTAGTATTATGGACATTGAAATGTTGTGGATTATATTATCAAAGATTAGAAGGTGGAGATGAATTATTCCAAATTTCTATTAATGAAATAAGAAATAAATTAGAAAAAACATTTGATTATGCAATTATGAATAATGATAGTATTATTTGTGAAGTATTATCACTTTATGAATTATGTCCAAATTTTCTAACTGAAATAACATTACAAAATATATTAAGAAGTTTTGAATTAAAAGACATTTGTATTAAAGAAAATGTATTACATATTGTAGAAATTATGTCATTATATACTAATGGAATGGTTTTTGTATTATACGAACAAATTATACAAAATTGGTTATGTACAAAGATTAGTATGAATGAAAATCAAACAATAACACTATCAATGATTCTTCTTATATATAAATCTATTGATATTCATGAATCATTATTCAATCAAATTAATAAAACTTTCTTAAATGTTTGTACTTCAATGTTATTTTGTTCATTTATTCCAGTAGAAAATCAAAATGATGTTGGATTATTTCTGATAATGTGTTGTAAATATCATAATCTCTTTCAAATAGTCTTTTCTTCAAATAATTTCTTATCATTAATAGAGCGTATGGCATCTTTATCACAAACATTATTAGATAAGGTTATAGAACTCGTATTTTGGATTCATCATCAACCAAATATTTGTAAAAGTATTAGTTCATTATTTATTGATCAAATAATTGATGTCTCAAAAAAATATATATTAACAGAGCATACTAAACAACAATTATATTTTCTTCAAAGGATAAGATAGATCTAATTTATATGTTCATTAAATAGAACTATAAGATTTTGTAATAATTTAAAAAAAAAAGAAAAAACAAAAAGATGTGAATTTTTTTGTGAACTGTTAAGAAATAAAAAGAAGTAAAAAATAATTAAAGAAAAACTATAAAGTCAACGAAAAAGTAAAAAAGAAAATGGAAGTGAACCCTGAGGGTTGTTTTATTATATTTAAAGATGATATGTAGAACTTTTAAAACATAATGCAACAACCAGACGGTATTCCAACATTTAAACTTGTTATTGTAGGAGATGGAGGAACAGGAAAAACTACATTTGTTAAAAGACATCTTTCAGGAGAATTTGAGAAGAAATATATTCCAACCATTGGTGTAGATGTTCATCCAATGCTTTTTAATACAAATTGTGGACCAATTAGATTTGAAGTTTGGGATACTGCTGGACAAGAAAAATTTGGAGGATTAAAAGATGGATATTATGTTCAAGCACATTGTGCAATTATTATGTTCGATGTTACATCAAGAGATACTTATAAAAATGTTGCAACATGGTATAAAGATCTTGTTCGTGTATGTGAAAATATTCCAATTGTTCTTGTTGGTAATAAATGTGATGTAAAAGATAGAAAAGTTAAGCAAAGACAAATTACATTCCATAGAAAGAAGAATTTACAATATTATGATGTTTCAGCTAAATCAAATTATAACTTTGAAAGACCATTTTTATGGATTGCTAGAAAACTTACTGGAAATCCAAATCTTGTTTTTGTTGCTGATCCAAGAATGTTGAAACCAGCTGAAATTGATCCAAGAACCATTCAACAAGAGTCTATTGATATTAATGATCCAAGTATTCCAATGAATTCATTTAATGATGATGTATTTGGAAATGGACCTATCTAAATTGATTACTGTTATGATTGTTATTTCTTTTTTATTTTCATTTTAATAATAATTATAATATTTTTATTATTATTTATTATTTTTTTTAATTGTAAAAAAAATAATTAAAAAGTTTGAAAATAAATATGAAACATTATTAAGTTTAATTATTCTCAATATGATGATATTTTTTGTAGAAATAACTTGTTGGTGCCCACTCAATAAATGGATGTTTCAAAAGTTGGGTTGCAGACCACCTCTTTTCTGGATTATAAATAAAACATTGCTCTACAAAGTCTACAAATATATTATCCCAATATTTAATTCTCCTTAAACCCATAGCTCCATTAGTAACAGTTCTAAATAATAACTTAACAATACCATCTTCTCGATATGGACTTTTACCTTCAGCTAATTCTTGAGCAACACATCCTACACTCCAAATATCTGCTTTTTCATCATAAACTTTTTGTAATACAACTTCTGGGGCCATATATTGTTTTGAACCAGAACGAGTATGAGGATTTAATGACTTACGTACAACTAATCCAAAATCAATTAACTTCACTCCTCCATCATCCATCATTAATATGTTTGCAGGTTTAATATCTCTATGAATAAATCCTTGAGAATGGATATATTCAAGTGCCATTAATAAACATTGAATAACGTATGAAACATCACACAGTGTAAATATATGACTTTTATCTTTAACTACTTGTTTAATACTTCCACAACTACAATATGGCATTGTGATATAAACCCTATTATCAAATAAATAACATTTATCAATTTGTATTAAAAATTCATGTTTCCATAATGCCATTCGTGCAATTTCTTGTCCTAATTTTGAATATCTTTCTTTCACTGTATGTTTTAATATCTTTAATGCAACAACAGTACCATCAGATTTTCTTTGTGCTCTAAAAACTTCACCAAATCCACCTTTACCAACTGACTCAAGTCTTCTTACTTCTACAAATGGATTAGTTTGAGAAACATATTGCATTAAATCATCTTCTTTAAATTCTGGAGTTGTTTCATCTTTTTCTTTTTTTATTAATTTTTCAGTCACTAATATTTTTTGTTGTTTTGTTGCATATTTCTTTTTTCCAATGTATTTTAAAACCTCACAAAGTTCATCAAAATGTTCAAGACATTCTTCTGGATATAATCCATCTTCTTCTACTAATTGTTGTGCATAACTTAATAATTCTGATAATCTACCAGCTCGTGTGTCTGTAATAATTTTAGGAGGTGGAACAATTCTATGTCTACAATTTGCTAATAATGAAATTGATTCATTTAAATCATCTAAAGAAAGTGAAAGAAATACTTTTCTTAAAGTAGAAGTTATATGTAAAGAATTTCTACGAGAAATAGTAACAGTAGAATCCATTGGAATAACAATACAAGGAATTTTTGATTTTTTATAAGAAATTGTTATAATTCCATTATAAATAGTAAATTCTAAAGGATCAGTTTTTCCTCTGAAAGTACAATTAAAAGTTTTAATTTTTTCTTGCCAATCTAAAGCTAAAAAATCTTTTCTGAATAAAGTCCGAATATTTCTTGTGATAGTTCTAAATATTGTCAATAACGCATTATGATCACTTATATTATTTGTTCGAATAAATAAATTTCTTGTTGTATAAAATTCAATTTTAATCATTTTTATGTCTTGACTATCAACAACTGATGCACAATCAAAAGAAGAAAAGAAAAATTCTTCTGGTGTTGGTCCATCTGGTGTATAGAAAGAAGATTCTGGATAGACAGTAACTGTTCTATCTCCAAAACTAAATAATAAAATAGATGGAACCATTTCATTTATATGTCCCCCAACACAAGCATAATATACAATTTCATTAATAAATTCTGCAGGTATTTCGCGGTGATTAGGAAGAGACATTAACTAAAACAATAACCAGTTAAATTAACAATTCTTTTTTAATTCTTTCTTAACTCCTTTTCATTATATTAAAAACTAAACATAATAATTAATTTTATTATTATTATTTTATTTTTTATTTGAAAATTTAGTTCTGAAACAAAAAAGGGTTATTCCATTTATCTTCTTTATAAAACAATCGATTGAAAAATATTATTTTATTTGTTTAATTGTTTATTTTAATGAGAAAACAAACCGACTATAGACTTGAATTTGTATAAAGTTATTTAGTCTTCTTCATCATATAATGGTTGATCATCATCCATTTCATTATAAAATATTGACCATTCATTTTTTACTGGAGATAATGAAGGTAAAAAAGCACATAACATTGATATTAAATAAACAACCATACTTCCATTTTCAAAGTATGTAGCAAAAGTTGTTTCTTCAGAAATAATACCTGAAAAGAATAATAAGAAAATAAGTACTAATAAAAATAAAGCAGTACATGCAGCAAAATAATTTAATTGTTTTTGAATAATAGGAATAGTTACTTTATTATATGTCATAGCAAGATGATATAATGCCCATGAATAAAGGAAGAAATATAATAACCCTTCAATAACATCAAAAAATATTGAAGTACTATGAAGAGTATTTTTTGGAATTAATACATTTTGAACTGAACATACAGCATGAAGAGTTGTATTTGTTAATCTACAAACTACAAAAATTGATAATAGTAATACTCGGGTTATCCAAACTACTTTTTTTGATGAAGTTCCATTTTGCTAATTAAATGAATTTATTATTTTATTAATTTTATAATTCTTATATTAAATATTTAAACAAACTTTCATAAATGAATCAAGCATAAAGAATAAATAACAAATAAATACAACATTAAATACTGAATATGATGCTTTACTTAATGCAAAAACTCCAATCCATTGAATTGAATATGCAACAGCATTCCATGGAAATGTATGACCAACAACAGCAAATACTAATAATCCATTCATTAATTGTAATCCATTAAATCTTCCTTTCTTCTGTAAATATCTAAGTTCTATAATAACATAGACAATAAAAATAATTACAGATATACTAAATACAATTAATGAATATAATATATTAATTTGTGTATATCTATCTGTTGAAGTAAATACATTAAGATTCCCTAAAACTTTAATACCATCTTGTGGTTCATTATCAATTAATTTTAATGAAATTATACCTTTTCCTTTTCTATATACTTTTTGTTCAATAATTTCTACTCTACCACAAATAATATCTTTTCTATATGTACATGTAAAATTAAATATTTTAGTTTCATTAATTTTATCATCTTTATCAATAAAATTTACTTCAATAGCTTGTGACTTTTTTTCATATATTGTCATATTATAATTATTATTAATATTTATCTTTTGTTGATACATTACCTTTAATTCTAATTCATTCTTATTTAATACAGGTAATGTAAATTGAAACCCATCTCCTTCTACTGATTTAAAACCACTTTGTGTCTTTAAAGAATATTCTGATGGTCCAAATATTCCTAATATTATTGTAAATAAAAAGAATAAAATTAAGAATATTGTCATAACAATATAATGTATTTTTCTAAAATGTGCTAATTGAATTTCACTCTCCATGAACTTAACTTATGAGTTCAAATTATGAAATAATTTTTAAGTTTCAAATTATTACAAATAAACAACTTTTTAAATAACTATTCTATTCTTTTTTATTTAATTTAAAAAAATTTAAATTTAAACTAAATTAAAAATGACAAGACACAGATCCAATCAAGATATATTTAAAAACACATCACTTCTTTGAATATCTCTCTTTTCTCCTCTTCTCTAACATACAGAATTCTTTTAATCTACCTACCAAGTTTCTTTGATCAGCTAATGACCATTCATCCACAGTATAATTGGTCCATTCTCCAATTCCATCCCGTTTCATTAATTCTCTAAACATGTCTTTACAGAAATCATGTAACATAACTTCCATAGCACTTGGTCTTTTTGATGGATCAAATTGAAGAATACTTTCTAATAATTCATATGCATTATCAGGTGAGTCAGTATACATTAACACTTCATTCATCCCCTTTCCATTAACACGAGGAATTTTAGTATAAGGAGAATTTGGGTTCATAGCCAAGACCTGTTCGACTGAAGGAGAACCAATAATGGAGAAAATTTTCACTAATTGATCTGAAGTTGTCATTCCTCGAAAAAGTATTTGACCAGTTAATAACTCTGCAATAATACATCCAACACTCCATATATCAATTGAAGTAGTATAATCAACACACCCAAATATTAGTTCTGGTGCTCTATAATATCTTGTACAGATATATGCGGTATTTGGTTGGTTTGCTTCAAGGACTTTAGCTGCTCCAAAGTCACATATTTTTAATTCTAAATTTTGTCGATTAACTAATATATTTTGTGGTTTTAAGTCTCGATGACATATTCCTTTTGAATGTATATAACTTAGTCCTCTACATAGTTGGTATGTGAATAACCGTGCATGTCTTAATGGAATTGGTAACTGTTCTGCTGCATAATCATGTAACATTTGGTGGAGACTTTCAGGATAACATTCAGTGACTAAATTCAAACATGGTTCTTTATACTGCAAAAAGTTAGCATTTAATTTTTTATGTTAAATAAAGAATTTTCATTTACTTAGTTATTAGAAAGTCATAATAATAAAAATATTACTTACTTCTTTCTCTTTTAACAATAAAATACTTTCATAATAATAATCTAAGAAAAACAAACATTAGGCAATATTGTATAGAAATGATCTAATAATTCTATTACATTAGGGTGTTTTAACTCTTTCATAATACCTAATTCCCTATTCTACAACAATTAATATTTTTTATTCACTCATTTCATATTTTACTAGCTCAACACAATGATAATTTATAAAAACAAACTTTTTGTCTTGGATCTTCTAATATCCGTTTAATAGCAAATATATGTTGTTCCTCATCTATAACACCAACAACAATTCCAAATGTTCCCCGACCAACTATCTTTAAGACACGATACCTTTTTATTTCTGATTCTAATATAATACCTTCTTGCTCTCCAAAAATGGAAAGTAGGCTTGTTTTATTTTCTTTTTTAACAACATTCTTCTCCATCACATACAACCCAACCTTTCAATGAAATTTCTGGATTAACTCTGATTTATTCACCTCTTTTAATTATTTTCTTTAACTTTTTTAACTATTCTTTTTCTTATTATTTTTATCTTTTTAAGTTCTTAAACCTTTCTTTATTTGTCTCTTTTCTTTCTGAAAAATCTTCTTTTTATGTTTATAAAACATTTTTCTTTCTGTTTCAATTTTTTAATTATTTAGTTCGATTCATTTCATCTTTTCTTTCTTTTATAAGTTCTAAGTACAATTCTCTTTGAAACACTTTTACTTAAAAATTTATTAATAGAATGTGGAATAGTCTTTAAATTACTCAAATATCCAATTTTATCATAAAAGAAATAAACTTTGAGGGGTAAATGTGACTAAATTAGAAAATAATAATACTATAACTTTTACTAATCATTTTTCTTTCAAAAGGTTTTTATAAGTTTCACATATTTTATAAATTAGATTCTTCATTATATTGTGTTATTAAACAATGTATATAACTTTTTTATTCTTTAAGTATATATATATTTTTTTGTTATATTGCTTACAATAAAGCTATAAAACTTTGTTTATGAAGATAGTAAACAAACTATTCAATTTAGTTAAAATATATTATTATGTCAATTTTCAAATGATAATAAATCATCTTATTTAATTTCTTCAATAAAACAAGAAATATTTATTACTTTAAACATTGTCAAACAGAAATAAATAAGAAAAAGAATTTATATTTTATTTATCTTTTTATTTATCTTTTTATAAAAAGAAAATATAAAAGATATGTCATTCAGTTTTGAAATATAATATAATATAGTATTCTAAATGATAACATGATTAATTGTCTTATTTAAGAATAAAAACAAAATTCAATTATATTACTTTTTTATAACACTAAGTTTTAAAATTATTAACTAAATTCATTTCTTCTTTTAAAAAATTATTATAGGAATTAAGTTAAGTGTTTAAAAAGTTATATAGACATATTGATTATTTAAGATAATTAATTTTATTACTATAATAAATTAATTTATGAATTGTTTATATTTCAAGTTTTTATATTAGTAGTTGTGCAAAAAGGATTAATATGAAAAATAAATTATCATACATAATTTGAAGATTCAAGTCAATTAAATTAAAGAGAAAATGAATGAAATAAATAAAAATTAAGTGATTTATTAATCAACAAAAATATAAATTCTTTAAAAAATAAAAATAATAATAAATAATAATTTTATAATTAAAAAAATAATAACTAATCAAAAGGGAAAAAAGAAACCCTTGAACTAAAAAGTCTTGCACACACATCGATGGTTTGTTTAAGTAACATAAGTTTAATTAAAATTCAAAAGAATAAAATAATAATCGTTAATTAGGCTCGTAGAACAAAGAAGGTAGGAATTGTCGGAAAATATGGAACAAGATATGGTGCTTCTCTTCGTAAAGTCATCAAGAAAATCGAAATTGCCCAACACTCTAAATATATTTGCCCATTCTGCTGTAAGGAAGCCGTAAGAAGAACTGCTTGTGGAATTTGGGAGTGCAAAGGTTGTGGAAAACAAATTGCTGGTGGAGCTTACACACTCTCTACCATTTCTGGTGCTACTGTTAGATCCACCGTTAGAAGACTAAGAGATGCTAAGAATTCACAATAATTCAATTGTCTTCGAGTGTGAAATTATTTTTTGTTTTATTGATAAAAGAATTATTTTGTTATTTCACTCTTATTTAGAAGGTTATTTAATTTGTAAATATGTTTCAATTATTTTCAAAAATCAATAAAAAAACATAGTCAATTATTAAGTTTCTTCATAATTTTATTTTATATTACATTTTATTTATATAAAAAATGTGGGAAATTAGAAGAACTATAAAAGATTTAAAAATAGATAAACAAGATTTGTCCAAAAAACACCATATAAAATAAAACAAAAAAAAAAAGAAAAAATAAATAAAAAATATGAAAAATCAGCTGAACTAAAAAAAAAAGAAACTATAATTGTATTATTTTAGTAATGAAGGCTGTATTCATTTTTGCACTTATTGTATGCATTAACGCATATCCATATTTTGGAGTTTCTGCTGTTGAAAAGGAAATTGCTGAGCAAAAAGTTTCAATGATTGATGCCCGTATTGAAAATTTAGAAGATATTAGAAGAAGACTTTTAGATGCTCTTGATGCTACTTATGAAGATATGTTTAACTCTGGATGTACAAAAGCAAAAGCTCAGTTAAAAAAAGTAGTCCAGGAGTTAAGAAAAAAAATTGTTCGTGTTGATTCAAAAATCAGTTCAACAAAAAGTTTATTAACTAAAGTCCTTTCTGGTTTGAATCCAAGAGCAAGAAATTCTGTTATTAGACATTGCAAAGTTGAAAGACGTTTCGCTAAAAGACTTTTGTAAACACCTTGTCTAACTTGGTTAATTTTCTTCACTTTTTCATCTTCTTTTCATTCTTCTTTTTTGTTTTTATTCATTATCTTATATTCTTTGTTTTTTTGTTGTAGGAAATTTTATGTTTTTGTCTGATTTTAATATTTTTTATTTTCAATAAATTTAAATTAATAATAAAGCAATTAATTAAGTATTAATAGAACTAGTTTCTATTGTTAATGACTCGGGGGAGACTAGTCACATCCCTGAATCTTTTTTCTAGCAGTTTTACGGAGTATGTTTGGATGTGATTGAAGCAATATTCCATGACATCCATCATGTTTTTTATTACAAGGTTTTTAATTTCTTTTTCGATGTCAATTTCAATTTTTAATTCTTTAATTAATTTACTACTTTCTTTATTTATTAATCCATTTATTGAGATTATTACTGGGATTGTTTTGACTTATTTTATTTTCTCTATTTTCATTAGAATATTCTTTAATTCTTTATACATATTTCTTTTCTTCATTTACACTCCATTAATATTGTGATATTCTACAATAGTCATATCAAATAATAGACAAGTTTTGTTCTTTTTATCTAATACATATATGTCTGGTATTTTGTGATATTGTCATTCACTTTTAGGCATTATTTGTTTGTTCCATATCATAGTGATGTCTTTATATTTGAACACTGTTTCATATGGGGGTTTTTATATTGTTTATTTCCTGTGTATTTTCTTATCAATCAATATGATAATGCCAATATTGTCATGTTTTTCTATTTGTGATTTTTTATGATAAATACAAGATAGTAAGATGTGTTCTACTGTAGCTATCTTGTCTTTACAAAGTGTTGAGTATTTCAGTCTTTCATTTTTCATTATTTTTGCTTTCCTATACACACAAAATATTGCTCCATCTTGCATTTTAGTTAATTGTAGAAATGCATTTTTCTTAATATTGATGGACTTCCATGCTTTCATTGTAGTAGTTTTATCTACTCCTTTTGACTCAAACCATCTTCTAAAGTGTCACTTGTTTGATGACACTTCCATTTTTTGATGTATTGGTCGGTCAATAATTTTTTTATTTCTACTACTACTTCTTTTCTTTTTTCTTTTCAACAATTTCATTTATTATTTCTTCTATTTTTGTTTCATTTATTTTATGAATTAATGTTTTTTAATTCTATTCCATATTCCATTCTTACTATACCATCTCTCTAATATGTTATTTCCTATTTCACTTTCTCTGGTACAGTAGTACATCACTGTTCTAATTAATTCAATAACATATTCGTCCCTTATATTTATTAATCAAACATTTAATCTATACTTCTGTTCAATTTTATAAATAAATAAAACAAGAGAATAAGTTGTATAAGATATAAAAAGTATTATAAATGAAGTATGTTGAATAAATAATAAGATGTTATAAGAATATTAAAGTGATAATAATTATTAGAAATTATGAATTAATAATTATATATAATTGTAAGTATCATATAGTATAATAGAAATGATAAAATGAATGAGAATTAACAAGAATTATAAATATAATAAAATAATAAATAATAAAATAACAAATAACAAATAATTATATTCTATAATATTGAATATATTCAAAATATAAATAAATAAGAATAAATTGACTATTGAATAATAATTTAATATAATGGAAATAAAAATAATACCACACTCTTGATAAAATAAGTAGAAATAAAGAATTTAAAATCTATATATTCAATCAAATAATATTCATACCATTTATTAAATCATTTGAACAATATGATAAATATTAAAATTATGAAAATCAAATAATAAGACATAATAAATCAAATAGAATACAATGATGAAAATTGATTAATAAGAAAAGAGATAAATTGAAATAATTACTGATTAGAATTATAAAATGTATTTATCATAAAAACAAAATGAAAAATAATAAAACAAATTCTAAATATTTAAAAATAGATAATATAAAATAAAAGATGCACTATCCAGGAATCGAACCTGGATATCCACATTGGAAGATGGATTTCTACTACTAGACTCTTTGTGCTTCCCATTATATTTTTTATTTCTTATTTTTTATTTATATTCTTATTTATTTTAATAACAAAAACATTCATAAATGCAAAATATATTCCAAATTATTATGCTATTGTTAATAATAAAGTCTAATTATCCATAATTAACAAATGAAACAAAGTAATAAAATAGCAATCAAATGAAATGTATTAAATTATTTATTCATTATGTATCTAATTTTATGTTATTTGATTTTCATATTTATTATTCTTAAAATTGAATATCTCTTTATTCATTTCTTTTCTTTATATTCCTTATTTCTTTCTTCTTCTTTTCTTTAATCATTGATTTAACTTTCTCCTTTTTTCTTTCAATATACTTCTTATTCTATATTATCTTTTTCTTTCTTTTTTATTTACTCTTCTTATTCTCTTCTTTTTACTTCTTATTTTCTTTTCTTTTTCTTTCTTATTGTTATTTTATATTTCTTATTGTTATTGTCTTTGTTATTATAGTTCCTTCTTATTTTTCTTATTCAATTTTCGTTTCATCTTTTTTTCAATTCATTTTCATTATATTTCTTTTATCATTCATATTGTTATTCAATTTATTGTTATTGTTACTCATTCTCTTCTTTGATGTTGAATTTCTATGTTTTTTGATTTTCTTTACATTACACATTGATATTAAAACCATTGCAACAATATTTATTATATTCTACATTGAAAGTATCTTTCAATAAACAAATATAAAATAGATGATTAAATAATAATAGAATTTTAATTTATTCATTGATTAATTGTTATTATTTACATCACATCACATTAAATTGAGTCTTTTCTTTGTTTTATTTATTATTTAGATTTTATTCTTATTTTGTGAATAATGTAATGCATTTTATTTATTTTATTGTCTTTTAATATCTTTTCTTTCTTTTTCTTTCTTCTTTTTATCTTCTTCGATTTTTATTGTAATTTAATTAATATAATCCTTCTTTATTTTCTTATTTTATGAATGAATATTTCATTATTATTATATTATTATTTATAATTTCATTTATTATTAATATCATCATTTACATCTTTTTATTTTCTAATTATTATTCTTTCATATTATTTTATTTCATTATTTCTATTATTATTTATTATATTTCTTATTAAATTAATTCATCATAATCAATTATTATTTGATATTTCATTATTTGATTTTGTATTGATGTTTGTGTGTTGTTTCTGATTTTCATTATTCATTTCTCATTAATTTTCATTTAATAAAATAGAAGAATAAAAATAATGAAAGAAGATAAATAAAATAAGAATAAAATAAGATAAAAACAATGATATTGTTATTATATTATTATGTTATTTTAGTTTTGATTTTATATTTATTATTTTATTTTTATCTTTTATAAACATCATTCATTTCTTCTTTTTGTCAATTCCTCTTTTCTAAACATCACTGAATTTATTCTATTTATTTCCATTTCATTCTATTTTCTTTATTTCTTGTTGTTATTTTATTTAGTTCATCTTTTATCATTTGTCATTTCTTGTTTACTCATGTTTGTTGTATATTTTATTATTATTCTTTATTTTATGTTGTGTTATTCTTATTTATCTTTCTTATTATGTTTTGATTATTATTGTTTAAATAGAAAATAAAATCAATTAATAAAGAATAAGAAATAACATAAATATGTTGATGTATTTTATCATTTCTTTATTTGTTTCTTATTCTTATTTCTATTATCTTATTCATTTGATTCATAATGAATTAATTCAATGAAATAATACAAATAAATTGTTTATTCATTTCATCTTATTTCTATTTTATTCTTATTTCTTTTCTTATTTATTAAAAACACCCTCATTGGGTGTGAATATTTCATTAAATGAAATTAAATAAATCAACATTGAATTATGTAAATTTTTATTTCACCATTTCATTCATTGGCAGATGAATGAAATGAACGTTCATATTCTTCATTGATTTGTTTTTATTCTTTTTTAGTTCATTTTCAATTAATCAAGATTGAATCATTTCATTTCAATTACTATGATTCGTTTTGGTGTGAAACATTCTGGAATTTGTTTTCCACAAAGTGCATTTGATATTCCTTCATATTCAAAGCAATTTTGCTCACAATATGATTGTGTTTTATAATTTTCTTTATAAACAACAATGTCCCATCCATTTCCAAATGAAAATAAATAATCATCTGTTTGATTATATATTTTAAACGCATATTCTGGTTCTTCATTATCAAA